CGTTTCTCGAGCTGTTCCCAATATGCTGGTGACCGTTGGTGCTAATGGTTACGGGTCAGTTTTCCTTCCCATTCTGTATTCACATTTTCTCAGCTTCTCGTGTATATAAATACATTCTGGACTCCAACACCGGCTAACAAAAAATGTGAATAGGACATACATCATTTTCGCCTGTTTCTGTTTCTCGATGGGCGTCTGGGTTTGGTTCTTTATTCCCGATACAAAAGGTATACCTTGCAACTCCCTGGCGCATCATGTTTACGATGATTATATACGGGAACTGACTTTTTCTTTGATAGGCCTCTCGCTGGAGAAAATGGATGAGCTCTTCGGTGCCACGAGTAATGCTACTCATCTGAAGACTGAAGATATAGAGAGGAGTGCGTCCCAAGCGGAGGGTGACCACAAAACTGAGGTTGCTACAGAGACTAGGGTGGAAAGGGTGTAATATTGCCGACCTTCTTTCTTTCTCTTTCCCGGCCTTGCGATTTGCTTGGTGATCCGTTTTGAATATGGACATAGCTGCATAGGTCAATTGGATGTCTATTCATCAAATAATATTGGGCTTGGTAAAATTCTGTCCAGTGACAGCCTCGCTATATACATGATAGTCAAAATTCTAACACAGTAATGACAATGTGTGGAGTCAATATATTTGAGACCAGTTTCGTGGCTAAGTCGCTGCATGAGGCCAGGTTTTGTTTGCGGCATCGACGCCAAAACCGAGTCCTCGACCTGCTTGTTGTGATGCAGGCCAATTAGGTTCGAAGACAGGAACGTCTATGGTTCTCGAGCAGCCCAGGAGATACTGTGTCTAATCTCAGCACGCCTACTATCGGCGTGGTGCAATGAGGGCCGGTGGTATTCACACAAAAGCAACCGGCTGTCCTTAATCACACTAAAAATTCTCTTCATAATTGGCATCTTTGGGATGTCAAAAGACCCTTCGCTTTGCCAGAAGTGAAGCTTCTCTAAGCCACTGATTGCGAGCCTTGAGTTGTTGTCGTTTTTGCTTCTTGGAATAAAGCCACTTGTTTACCGCACCAAAAAAAGTTGGTGATCACTTTAGAGGATATCTAGAAGGAAGAGGATTTTCTTGAAGAAGTAAGGTTCCAAAGACTCATTGGAGTCTGTTCCTGTCATGGGCTTTTTCATCTCACAACTGAAATGGGCATGCCGGCGGCCCAATGCTCGCACAGGAGGAGATGGCCCTCCTTTACCACGCTAAGATTGCTGTTAGAATACCTGTTCTTTCATGCTATAATCTTGGAATGTATCTTACCATTTTTTCGCCCGTGTGGGCCAATCTTCTCGTGTGGGTGAATCCACACAGCTTTGTTCGCATCTTTTGGATGCCAAAACACCCTTCGCTTGGTGATGAGAGACGCTTCGTGTGACGATGTGACTGGGGTATCGTGAGTACACCAAGTACTCTCATAACTGAATCATGGGCGCTGGATCACGCAGCAATTTCGTGAGCCATCCAGCTGAAGGTTCATATCGAGGGCTGGTAGCATGAGACGGTTGTTATAGTGAGATGAAGGAAAGGTAGGGAGGGGCAAAAAGTCTGGAAATGTTGTCACTAGGTCATGGTGCCTGCCTATCTAGGCCTTCAGGCACCTACCCGTGACAGTTGTTGCTCCTTCTTAAGAAAGGTCGACCTTGTTCGGATTCAAGACTGCGGACCAGCATACCTGCCTAATCTTATCTACTTTCTTGTTAATACCAATGGCAAGGTAATTGTAGGGTTCATATTAAGCCGAGAGAGCTCCTTCTTATAATCAGTCACTCAGCGTTTGTCTACTCTATCGCGTGGCCTTCGAACTACATAAACGAATCGAAGGTTCCTTGAACCCCTCGGGAAGCTGAATGCTTCCAAGTTCAAGACGTCGAACCTATTCACGATACCGGCCAACCAAACAACCCACATTATAACAAGGAGTGATATAAGATACAATAGGCTTTGTTATTGTTCCTATGGAGAATAATGGATATAAAAAAAAACTTCAAAGACTGTCAAAACGCTTCCTATTTACCTATGTACAATCGCTTGCTAATATTCAATCCTTAACCTTCACATCACATCATGCAATTGAGTACGCCCGGCTGTCGGGCTTTACTTTGTCCTGATATTCCCACGCCCGGGGAAGCGCCGCAGCTTCTGAGTTTGACTCCGGGTCATTCGCCGAGAAGGTTCGTCGTCAAGGCTAAGACCGCCAATGCCAGGTCCAAGTTCGGACCGTTTTGGTGAAAAGAAGGCGTCGCTGCCGCTTCGTCCATAGCGAATATTCCGGATTGTAGCATTCGTGGCCGTAGTAGCTGTCGTCACCGTAGTTTCGGTGTCGGAGTCACGGTCTAGTGGGTCCGACACATCGGATTCGTCGCCCTTCAAGCTCTTCAAACTGAAACTATGATCCTGATAGCCGCCGTCATATGACGGGAAAGGGTGATGGCGCCGAGCCTCGGGCGTCTGAGCTGAAAAGCTAGACCCGGTCACAGTCGAGGAGAAGGAAAGCGGCGGCACAGATGGCTGCCTGGTAAACGGCTGAAGTTCTTGACCGCTGCTATTCTCGAGCCTAGGAGACGTGCTGGGGAGGCCGGCAGGTGGTGGATGGTTTTGGTTCGCTTGCGGCACTTGCCCACTGCTGATGGCCGACGAGAAACGATAGAGAGAGAGTAATCCCAAAGCCTCTTGAACCGTCATGAATATCAAAAGGAGCTTTCCGTATCTGTCGAAATAGTGTCGTTCGGAAGAAACCTGCGGTAGATTTCCTCCAAGATGAACTGCTGCCACGAGTTCTGCAAAATAAACAAGAATTTCCATGCCGTTCCACTGAGCGAGAGGTTGTTTCAGGGCTTCCAGTAACGCGAATCCGGCAATAAGGCTCGCACTACCCAAGGAAGCTACTTCAATAAAATCTCCGGGTAGAGAGATATGGCCATATTGTGATACGAGCCAAGCAGCGATAGAGGACAGAAGCAATCCCAGTCGGAGATACTGGAAGATAAAATAACTATGCAAGTCGACAGATTGGTGGGGACCAGCATTTGTCGTCTGCTGTTGCGATTGCCATGCGCCGTGATCCTCATCCTCAGGCGATTTGATGGTGAAAGCTTTATCAAACAGACTCTCTAGCCCGGTCGAGGCAGCATGATCACTCATGGGGAAGAACTTCGGAGGTGCAAATGTAGTGTCGAAGGGGCCATTGTTCCGCGCCCAGGGGCTCGAGGATTGGGCTGGAGTATGGTGGAACGGATTGCGCTCAACAACCTGCTGGATGGGTTTCTGGCGCTGAGCAGTCTGGTTGCGCAGGTTCCATGAGGGAGGTTTAGGAGCGGCGGGTAGAGATCCGTAGAATGGTAAAGGTCCATCGAGAACAGATTTCTGCTCTCTCTGGTGCACGCTCACAGTAGGTGTAACATTATGCTGTACAGAAGGTGTCCAATCCATGTCGTCTCCTTCAGGGGGAGGGGTAGGAAAAGTTGGCTCCTCGGGAACAGGCCGAGGAGTCGCTAGCTTTTCGAGAGGAAAGCGTGGTGTGCCCTGTTGCAGCCTTTCGCTCGGGCTTGTGAGAAGCTGTTTGCTTCCAGTGGTATGAACGGGAGACTCGCCACGTCTACGAGCCGGGGTTGCTGCCGGAGTATTGTCGGTCCAATTTACCAAAGGGCGAGTGTCATACTGCGCAATGCGCCGAGAGAATAGAACAGACTAGACTATTGTGAGTTTGATGCCGTTCAATATCCATGGTTAGCAAGTGAGTGAGACATACCAAAGCAATGAAAATGAACATAAACGTATGCAAGGTCGGTGGAAGATGCGATTGTAAACCACTTGACAAGGGGTCTCTAAGCAAAGCCCAAAAGACACATCGCACCACCATGACAATAAGTTGGACTTGGTAGTATTCTCCCAGACCGACGAAGCGGCCAGCTCTCCCTTCAACCTTGAAGCGCAGTTTCGGGTTATACCAGGCAGAAAGTATGCCTGCTACTAGAGACAGGCCAGCATAAGGTGCCAGGTCAACGAAGCAATAACTTGGCATGCGGCGTGTCTCTAATGTTTGCTGAACACACGTTACGATGGATGCTGGTGTAAGGAGATCATCTGGGTCCCGTAGAAATTCATCAGTAGCTAAAGCACCCACTAGATTCCAGGAGAGTTGGCCAACAACACTAGCCCAGTAAGTGATGGCGCCAGCATAAAGTAACAAGCTCCTCCAATTCCATTTTCGTGCATGCCTTGCTGCTCTTCCCGCTTTGCTGCGATCCATCATACGTCTCAGGTGGTCTGATTTTGCCTCGTATCCTGCCTGGCGGATGCGGTCCTTCACCCTGGGCTCACATTTGGCACATACTTGCGGATACCGTTCTTCAAGGTTCTTACGGAACTTCGGATATTCTTGTTCGTATGCGCCGTAGTTTGGATCGTCTGTTGGTGGGAAATATGCGGCGAGAGCACTTGTGAAAAGATGCTGATTTCGGATACATTGCGCGCAGAATAGACCGGATCCCGTAATATCAGTCGACTCGAAAGGGGTACTTGATACATCGGATCCGTAGGAATTAGGATTTGTATCTGCTGCTGGGGGGTCCGCGATTTGTCCTTTCTATCATAGTTGCCGAGATGATTAGCACGTCTTTCAGAAACACGAAAAAGAAAAGAAAAAAGAAAAAGACCTACTTCATCCAGGTAATTTATTGCCTCACAAGCGTTACAGCGCCATTTACGGATAGGACCTTTTTCAGTCTGTGCAGACCGTCTCCCGCAATAGAAGCAAGTTATCCGCTTTGCGAAGAGAGGTGCCATCTCATGTCCGAAATGTTGACATTGATAGCGGGAAGGTTGTTGATGGAGCAACAACCTCCCATCTAAGGATGGGCAGGAGTTAAGACAAAATAATCGCCGAGTCGCACGGACCACGTGCCCGATCATCACCCATCGGTCGAGGGACAAACAATTAAAGATTTCTACACAAGTGCCGACTTTTGGTTCATTTGTTGGTACATGGCGTTACTAGCCTGGTCTTGATTGTTAAACAATAGAGAGCGCTAACAATAACGTTATTCAATTGGCTGTGCTATACCACTGCAGAAGATTATTCTAACTTATCTGTCAACAAATGTTACTGATGACGCTTGCAGCTGCAAACTAACATACGTTGGGGTTCTTTGATCGCATTCCGGGGTCCATTGATAGCTTTCGACCTCTGAGATGATGTTCCTGACTCAGTCGCCCCTGAGAAGCCTCCTTTGGCTTTTCACCATAGGATGTGTGGTTGGTGTATCAGCATTCATTGTAAGCTCCTGGTGTTGACATACATCTACTCGTCTCTCTCTATTCGTGACTAATCATCATAACTACGCTTACAGATCTTCATCTATGCCCTACACACATCACAAAATACTAATGTTCCTAAATGGCGCTCGAAAAACACCCCCACCCATCTTCTCGTCGTCTTAGGCAGCGGCGGGCATACAGCCGAAATGTTCTCCATGTTACGACGGATAAAGCTCGATCCGTCCCAGTATACATATCGCACGTACGTTGTGAGCTCGGGGGATAACTTCAGCGCCACGAAGGCAGTAGAGTTCGAGACCCGATATGTCAATTCCGTCCAGAAAGCAACTGCGGCCGACCGTAGCCCAGCAGAATCCTACACTATTGTGACAGTGCCGCGCGCACGTCGCGTACATCAGTCATTTCTGACGGCACCTTTTTCAACCCTCAGATCTTTCTGGGCATGTCTTCTTGTCTTGCGTGGACAATATGCTGACCAAAGGCGGCCTCCTTCAATGAGCTCGGCGTATCCGGATGTGATTCTTACGAATGGACCTGCTACGGCGGTTTGCGTTATACTAGCTGCCAGGCTCCTCCGTCTCTATAATTTTATCAGAGGCTTCGTTCCGTTCAAAAAGGCCTTGGGAGGTGAGAACTTGGCACCGACTGATCACCAACTCCGTACGATTTTCATAGAATCATGGGCCCGTGTGACAACTTTGAGTCTGTCGGGTAAGATACTGTTACCTTTTGCTGACCGTTTCCTCGTTCAATGGCCTGGACTAGAAGGGATGAGAGCGTGGAAGGGCATGAGGAAGACGGAATACGTGGGCATGCTTGTGGATTGAATATGGTCCAGGTTATCCCGATGTCAACATTGATATTTTTTGAGTGTATTTTTATGTACTGTACAGCACGAAAGCCATTTGTGAATGAAGCTTTAGAAGACTGGTCTGCTCCTGTATCACTGACACGTAACCAAGAGTCCAATGGCGAGGCGATCGCTTTCTTCGTCCTTTCGATATTGTGACGGACTAATTAGATTCAGAATTCAGACACAGCCATAAGAATGTCTAGTCATTAGTAAACGGTCCCCCTCCAATTCAGCTATAGAAAGTTTTTAAGATCAAGTTTTCTACGGGGGTTAGGGATATGCCACAATAACGAACTTAAGCAGGGCTGGCATTAACAATTATACTGGTATCTTAAAGTCAGTTATACAAGACAGTTGTACAGTCAGAACAGCACTTTTCCTTCCAACTTGTGTCTTCATTGCAAAGGGTTGTAAAATGGGGTATAGTCCGAGCCGTTCGATGAAAATGTTCGATCACCAACCATCCGCGCCTTGAGAGCGGCGCGAAGGGCGTCCGTATTCTGTTCGCCCTCAACTTTCATTTGGTTGATGCGGAGAAGTTTACCATCTTGTGTAAACACGTAGACGCATTTTCCTTGTCGAGAATCAATGGGATGAGCGCCGTCCACAAAGGGTAAGCCTGGGACCACAGCATACGCTTCGCTCCCTTTCATCGGTTCAACTTCCTCCATCTCGGTGAAAATCACCCGTCGATATTGGAAGGAAGAAGGGTTAGCTGCAGCATCATTGATTACTAAAGCCTTGCTCCATAAAGGCCCCAATACACGAATCCGCCTGCTGATATCTAACCAGGTCCAATTTGTCCAGTCGATATGGCGGTCATCAGGCTTGATCTTAGCTGCATGTATCAGGGATTCATGTTCGTCTGGCGAACGCCAGCCGGCATCCCGTACTGGAGGAACAAACAGGCCTTTTCGGATACCGTCGACAAGAATCTCAGCTCCCTTAGGAGCAACAAGGTTTAAGAGCTCTGGTACGGTACATGACTCGGGCCTTGGGATCTCAAATCCAGGTGGCGGGGTCTGCTGTAAAATGACGCCGTGGTCGAAATGCTTGAAATCTAAGGTCTGCAAAGTGACCCCAGTCCTAGTTCTACCAGCCAAAAGAGTGTGATGGAGCGGAGCGGGACCACGGAAGCTGTTGTTTACCAATTAATCACCTGTGTGACACTCTCGATCGTTTACTTATACTCACTCGGGAAGCAAAGAAGGGTGAACATTTAGCCCCCCATACTTAGCGCCATGGAGAATTCGTGGAGGCACAAACAGACCGAAGGATACAGCTACTATAAGGTTGATGGGTCCCCCAGGTAGTACAGGTGGCTAACAGAGTCAGTAACACTTCAGGGCCCCGAGATTTTCTTTATAATACCGTCCATCCTGTGAATGTATCTATCTCATGAACCGGGAGCGAAAGGTCTGTTGCCGCAGCTTTGATGGGGACTATCAAAAGAAACGTAAGTCTAGTCCGGTATCTTTTCAACTTGTGAAATTAGATACCCTCGCGTATTTTTTTCAGGCCTCTTCCAACCCTTTTACCCGGTCTGCAAACGACATCAATGGAGGATATCCGATCTGGTCGATCCAGATGTTCCTTGTGGAGAGCATTCAAGGAAGCTATGCTGAACTCATCGGAGCCGCAAAAGAGTATTCGGAGGGGTTCGTAGGATCTTGTCGCAAAGAATCGATGTGCGAAATATCGGCTAGTTCCAGCACGTCTGTATATACAGAGCGCCCCGGGGCCCCGCGGAAGAAACATGGCGTGGGAGCTGCCAAAACATAGCTATCTTCGCCGGCTAACACTGAAGCTCCGGAAAGCTCCCCGAACACTCGAAACACTAGCACGTGATGTCACCGCATTCACGTCTCAAGTCAATCAGCAATATACTCCCCCACCTTTGACTATTGCACCAGCTGCCTGCGAGTTACGGTTCACGATATAATGATGCGATGTCAGGGAGCGATCTTGCTTCGGTAGTGCCGGCACAGCTGGCATATCTCACTATATACAATCCCCTCCTTGGACCGACCGACGAAACAATACAGGATCAAGTCGTCTTTTACACTTCCAGATCGGATCGTCTGCAACGGAGCAGAAGTTCTACGGCTGAAAATGAAAACAAAGAACCAAATGATGGATGGAATGTGAGACTGCGCCAGATAGGACTGGCGCAGGGCATGGTGAGCTTCGCCAGGTGGGGACCGCTGCTTCGACACCCAACAGAACTATACTGAATAATTGGTATAGGAACTTTTCAAAAGGAGAGGCAGTCGACTATGTGGAGACGGACAAGTCGCTTATTGTGCTACATGAACTCGAAAGGAATTGGTGGATCTTAGCTGTAAGCATGGCCTTAAAGAAAATGCCATGATGTTGAATGCTGAGATCGCTGTAGTCAATTGACCTGACGCGGCTTCCAACTCACCCTTCCAATGGACCTTCGTCGCAGCGCGATACTTTAGAGACTCCCTCTTCTCATTACTCTTCACGGGAGATGTGTCCCTCCCATCATCTGATTCAGCAACTACGCCGAGCGCATTCCACTTTCCTCCTTCATCATGACATCACCCTTGACGCTTTATACGAACGTGTTGGCAGGTCCACACTCTGCTCCCTCCTAGAAAACTTCTGGTTGCGATTTGCCTGGAACTGGGACATCATTCTAACTGGAAACCCCGCTGTGGATGTGTATAATGGCATAAAGCTTTCTGCTGGCGGCGAGCTAGGCATTGGTGTGGGCGAGGAAGAATGGGGAAGCGGGGAGAGGGAGGTGCTTGAGGACTTCGTGGTACGGACAGATGGCCTTGTGGATATCGTGGTGTCTCGATTTGGTGACCCGAATACGCCTGATGAGAATGCTGCAGCCGCGAACAAATCAGCAGATGCCATGCGCAATGATGACGATGAAACGCACTGGCTTGGTTTAGACACATATCCTCGACCGTCAGACGGTGTTATATTCTCAGGTGTAGGGGCTATCAGTAGATCTTCTGTGGTGCGCATCTCACAGTGGATGGAGTGGATCTACAGATACGGCATTGACGCATATGGGGTGGGTGAAGACCCAACATCACCACGACGTCGAAAACATCGAAGGAGACAACGAGGCCGCTCTGGAAAAGGTGCAAATACAATGCTACAAGCCAGAGAAAATCCCCAATCTGGAGACACAGGTGACGGTTTCTCTCCAGGTATACCACGCCCACTTGTCATGGGGACGACAAAATCAATGCAGCCCCCACAAGGGTCTGATGGAGTAAGCCTACTCTCAAGCGGCGAAAGCTCTCCTGCAAGAAGTGAGAAAGGCAGTGATTGGATGGGTGTGACCACTGGTGCATTTGTGAAATACCTCACGCTCGGATACGGTTCGTCCTGGAGCATGTCTAGGACACCCAGCGCACATCCCCGTGTTGAAGCGTTGAAGCGAGAAGATGACTTAGCCAGCTCAAGCAAGCAGACAGGTCAACCTACAGATAAGCAGGAAGGCTCTGAAGAGAGCCCTTCTAAACCTGAAGATCCTCCTGTGAAAGCTAGAAGCCGTGGTAAGTTTCTCATTGGCCTAAAAAATGAGACAGTGAAGGGAGATAGTCAAATTTTGGAGACCAGTCCAACAAATAAGAAATCGAAGGATAGAATAAGCCAGAGGACTTTACATATGTACTTGGCAAACCCATCAGAAGAGAATCCATCAGGTCGGTATTACACTTCTTCAATCTTATTGACCTCAATGCTAAAACCGATTGATCACTAGGCATAATCCAACAACGAGCAGTAGTCTACGTAGTAAGCCATTCTTCTCTTCCATCACAATCTCGAGCATTTACTGATGAGGTATCAGCACAAGCCTTTTATCTATACTTTTCTATTCGATCCTCAAGCTCCGTCTCTGGCAGACCCATCTCTCTATCACAATATCCATCACCAACTACAACCTCTCCAAGGGTCACTCAGCAAGTCAACATCGCCGGCAGTTGCCGCAGCCAGAATCTCTGTATCCGGCCATTCATTTGATATCAATCAACGATTCTCAGCCGAGAACCTACCATTCTACGATCTTGTCTACGACCCAACCAACCTAACAATCCGCTCTTCAATCCCCAATATCCCTGACCTCGGTTTTTCCCCACTAGAAGCCCCGCGAGATCCCAGCGCAACGCCCTGGTCGCGTGTCGAAAGCCTCAATATCCACCACCGCCTACTGAGCACCTACATAGAAACCCGATCCCGACCGCTCGAGCTAGAGAGAACCTGCAAAACAAGTCGTGGCTGGTGGCTTATTTGGGTCCGAATGTCCGCCCCATCGTACAAACCCGCCAGTGACGATAGTAGCACATCTCAACCCGACGACCCTCGCCAGGAGGCTTTCCTAATCCGGAAGGGAAGTGACTATGTCTCGACGTCTTCGCACGCGCGCAATAAGAACGGGACTCGGTTCTTCAGGGACCTGGGCGGTGCGTCTTCGCCGGGACTATCGGATATGGGGCCGGCCAAGTTGGCTGAGGGGTTGGGGCTGGATGCAAGGCGGTATATTGAAAGTTTACTCAATTTGAACAAATGATCCCCCGGGGGCGTAGAAAAAAATACACACTTTCGATGCTTTTTTTTTACATTCTCTTGGTTTTTTAAAGAACGTGGAGGTTGTAATATTGAGATTAATCCCGAATTGTTTTCCCCAGAGGGCTGCCTATTCTGACGGGGTATAGAAATATGTACATGTCTCACTACCCCTGAAGCAGCAGCACTAGTACAATACATGGAATAGGGACCAGCTGCTCAAGGCATCAACTTTATCAATCAAGTCACGAACTAGGGAACTAAATTAAGGATGGATATGTCACTTCGATTCTCCTGTGTCAGTCTAATTCAACACTTCTTTTCTCCTATGGTACAGGAGGCAGCTGCCATTTCATAATTAGGCATGCTGGACTAATGCGTAGCCTAAGATGCTAACGGGCCGCCCACATGTTACTATCAATAGCACGATCTTACCAATAGTTGACACCTCTTCCTGTAATGGAACGCGATACCAAGATATACCGGTATTTCTACTGATAGGTAGTCGATAGCAGATCCCGAGGTTTTAAGGATAACATGTGTTTGATGCATTTCACGAAATATGTATCAGGAGGGAAGATAGCAGACAGGGTACAATGACATCAGAACAATGCAGATGCAAATCGCAAAGGAGTAGGATGTGCATTGATTAGTAAATAAATATGTTAGGGGTGATGATGTTGTTTGGTTCCCCATCAAAGCTCTGATTGATCAAGGGAATAACAGCGTCGAGAAACTGGCCAAAACCAAAAGACAAAGTGAATCCATACATTCTCTTAACCGAAAGCAACACACAAAGGAATAAAGAAGAACTCTGCTGGGGAAATCCGAAGTGATAGGAATCATCTATCGTATCACGAAATCCGACTTTCTTTATCAACCTCCCGGAGATCCTTGGCTGACGGGACACGCACGAGAGACAACGCCATCCTCAATAGCTCATTTCCGATCTGCACTATCCGGTTATTGATGACCCTGTTTTCCTGCCAGCGAAATGGCCATCCTCTGCCATAGTGATCGAACCGCCTCGTGGGCGTACGGGGAGCTGGAAAAGAGAAGAAAACCCACAAGGTTATGAAGACAACGCCTCCCTAGAAATAAAATAGAAGAAGTCTGCAAAACAAGAAAGTCGACCAACTGCATAGCCAGATAATCCCATAAACCTCGTGTGCCCGTGATTGAACATTATCCACACTCGCATCCAGGCACAGATCGGAACACGCCAACGGAGGACCCCTTTCTGAGTAAAAGAAAACACCAAATAGTCGATACCCTTATCCGTTCATATAATCTCCGCATTAAACACAGACCTTTTGTGAAGGAGACAAAACTAGTTTACAGGATGGTGCACCCCTTCTTCTTCTTGTGGGTCTTGGTCAAGAGAGCAGCCCGGGTGGCAGCCTCGAAGACCTCACGGACACCCTCGTTGGTTCGTGCAGAGCATTCGAGGTACTTGTAAGCTCCGATCTTCTTGCGAACTTCCTCACCCTGAAAAACAGGTTAGAAGGATTCCAGCGTTCTCTGTTTACGGGGTACATACCTGTTCGGCGGTGACTGGCTTCTGGGAGGTCTTGGTCAATTCCTCAATGGTCTTAGGGTCATTGCGAAGATCCTTCTTGCATCCGACGAGAATGATAGGGAGTCCCTGGCAGAAGTGAAGCACCTCGGAAATCCACTGCATTCATCGTTAGTTTTGCGTACCATTTCCTTCGTAGGTGGAGCCCCTTTTTAGGATTCCTCCACTTCACGGGATAAAATCATGAGCAACTCACCTTCTCCTGAACGTTGTCAAGGGAATCAGGCGAGTCAACTGCGAAGCAGATCAAGATGACGTGAGAGTCGGGGTACGAGAGAGGACGGAGACGGTCATAATCTTCCTGACCAGCCGTATCCCAAAGAGCGAGCTCGACACGCTTGCCATCAACCTCGACATCGGCAACATAGTTCTCGAAGACAGTGGGGACATAAACCTGAAAAGAATAAGGATCAGTTTGACGCGTTCGGGTCGAAAAGGGAGATATCACGGATCGGGTTGGATATCCGGTGAGAACTAACCTCAGGGAAGGTACCCTTGGAGAAGACACTGTGCACAGCATCACAGTCAGCAGTCTCTTCTTATTTGGACACAGAAGTAGTTTGGAATGGAGATACACTTACATCAAAAGACAAGTCTTACCGCAGGCACCATCACCGACGATGACAAGCTTGCGACGGATTTCGGCCATCTTCAAATCAAGAGGATTAGCAAAGGATTGGGATTAAAATTATCAAATGGAATAAATTCCAGATGAGGTGAGTGGCAAACAACAGGGGAAGAAAGGGAAGCTGTTGCGGGAGTTAAGTTGGATGGCGGAGAGGAGGTTAGAAGGCTGAGAAAGGGACAAGTCAGGCGCCCGAGGAAAAGGGTTATCACATACGGTGCAGGTGCAACGGCACTGATTTTAATTATAGGGAGAGGGAAGAGAATAAAGTGGTTTAAAGGGGAAAATGGTTTGAGTCGGGGAGACGAGAAACAAGAAAACAAGAAAAGGGATTTGGGATATGGGTTCTGTCAAAGGACAATAGCGGATAAGAGTCTCCAGGGGAGCTTAAGATGAAGGGTGATTGATGGATGGGTGGTGGAAGACAGTAAAGGGTAACGGGTCTGTATGGGAGCGAAGGTTATCGGCGTAGACTCTTCTCTCGTTTTGGTTCCCCCGGCTGGCCTTTCAGGTGAGGCTCCCCAAGTTGACTAAGTAACCAAAAACCAGACTAAAAAGCGCTGAAACGGTTAGCAACAAGCGATATTTTACACAGATAAAAAAGCTATGTGGCTGTGCTGGTTTGTTTCTCTTGCTACCGTTTTTTCCCTCTCTTTTTTTACTTTTCTTTTTTTTTTTTTTTTAAAAAAAAAAAAAATTCCGAATTCTTTCTTTTATTACCTGCGAACTTTGTACCCTACCTAACACTAATGGAGAGGAGCAAAATATTCTTCCATAAGTGGAAGACATAAGTCCAGCAACAGAAATTTCCTTTGTCCCTCACGGTCCCAAAATCATTCTATTTCCCTCCCTGTTCACATGTTGGTATCTTGGGTGCCTAGTTTTCTGTCGGCTTCCCATCCTCATTGAAGCCACCGTGGCTGTTCATACAATTGGTTGTATTCCAGTACCGTATGAAAGTACTGGCACTTCATTCGCTTACCGCCTTTGCAGGAAGTACCGAGTAGTACTAGTACTAGTATTATGTATTTTAATTTCAAAAGCTGATAATTTTCCATCTTGGGTCTTTCATCCACCCACTTGAATTGAATCCGATCCACCAGAGATCCCAAACCTCCTTGACAGTCGAACCAACCAATGTTATCAGTTCCAATACTGATTGCATCGATCACCGAGTTCATACAGCCACAGAAAACATACACATATACTGGTATCTGTACTACATGTTGCAGTCGAGTACTAATTGCGTGGACACGTCAATCCTTCAGCTATAGTCGGAGCCTAGACACTGGTGGACACCTTGTATGCTCGGATTTATCGGTTATGGCTCCATTCTTAATATTAGCTCTCCTATAGGTATTATTAGCGATATGATTCGCTTGACAAAGGTCGGATGCGCGAAATTCATAATACATAGGTAGCAATAATAGATAATATCTATAGCACTATTTCCATACCTAAATAATCCTTGACAGTGCTCACGAGAATAGGTAACGAGAAGTAACTTCTCCTTCTATCGATGATAAGCAATCATACTCTTATCAACCAATTTATTGATCAATGGCATCATTCAACCTTAATACCCGTCCTGCGGTAAAATAACATAGAAGCAGATGGACCATTGAAAGCACATTAACATACTGCATATGATCACATCATTGTATGGGTCCTTGGGGGGTGACATTTTCCCTAAGACAAGAGTACAATACGTGGCGGTGCACACCTACCTGCGCCCACCCCTTAAACTACTAGGGTGGACCAGAATACCATACTCTGTCGTATACTTACTTTACTAGTCTCAGCAATTTAATACAAAACTTTATACATCTCACGTGTTCGTCATATGAAACTACTCCGGAGTACTCTGGGGTAACCTCTTCTCCTCGACTGGCATTTTGCTAGCAAGTGCAAAAGGCTACTATCAACTATTCTTACAAGCCGTCATACCAGCCACCAGGCCTGCGCTTATTACCGGCTTGCAGGAAGGCCTCAGCCACGGTGAAACCCAGAGCAGTAAACGCCTTGCAGCAAGTGCGGATATCTTTCTCGCTACCTTTTATCTGGATGTGACTCAGTCCGATATGCAACTATGCTTGTTGGTCCACCTTTCTAACTGGCTGTGAGGATTCATTGGGCTGTCTATGCCGGCTTTGTTACTGTTCAAAACAATGGTAATTTTATAGTGCATTGCAGCATACAGCCTATGTGGTACTCAGCAAGAATTCAGCAAGAGGCCTGACAATGTGACTGACGCCATTAATGGTGATCACGCCCCTTTATATGTTGCCTAACTGCATCAAGCATTTGCTCTTTCACCTGTGACATCATGATTGTCACGGTTCTTGCAAGACTAGATGGGAAGGCTCCTGGGTGATGTAAATTATTTGTGTCTCGATCATAAAAGAACAGTGCCCTAGGCAAGCCAAGAAAAGACTTGACTCGTCTTACGACTCCTACATGATCGGGACCAGTCAGCCTTGCACGCACAGTAAAGAGTGCATATGCATACTTTCAGCTGTAGATGGAATCTACACAACAAAAGCCTCGCTGAAGGCGGTACTCCCCTGGAATTCGATACAAGTCCCTATGGAAAGTTTCCAACCCAAAAGGGAAAGAAAACAAGAGGGCCTCGTTGACATACTACAAGGCCATAGAGCAGGCTGTGATACATTTATGCCTACCTGGATGCGGTCCGGACCTAAGGGATAGTTTGTGGCGCTGGAGTGGACATTACTCTCCGACAGTGAGGCTAGACCATTCTTCTTGGCTCTGCATATCTAAAGCGCCACTAGGTTTCCCACATTCAGACCCCAAAATTCCTGTGCAAATGTAACTCATGTCCTTGCAACCATAACATTCACTTCTAGGATCCAGAAGCCACTTGACGTTGCTCAACTGACCTATCCAGGACACAAATATCGAGAGACTAGATCTCGGAAAGGTCACATTGCCTTATTGACCATATTCAGCAACCTAAGCTACCCTGGAGGCAAGTATTCATGTTTTCGAAATTGTACGAAGTGCACCATCACACAGGTATTATATATCTTTCTCCCCTCATATGTATGCATCACCCCTGGCTGTAACCCATCCTCCGATATTTCTTGACTTGCTATTGTTTTCGCCATTTGTGAAAGATATGCATACGGCACTAGTCTGATGATTCTATGGGGTAACGCATAAAGTCAGAAACCTAGTTAAGAGTACAAAATGTAGACGGAGGTCTTGCAACGGGTGTTTACGACTTGTCGGTTAAGCTCCATGCTATCCATTTTCCATACCCTCTTATGGTTCAACCCAATTCGACTAAGGTTAGGTAGATGTCTTGTGCACGGAGTACAGCCTAAAGTACTATTACTGGCACCTACTAGTAGTATCGAAGTACGCATAGGTACTATACTTCCATCATCTAACTCATACTAAGGCACCCTCATCGAATCATCCCATTGGTTCCTGGAGCCTGAGCGACTCTGTCGTCACGTGACTGACGGCCGCAATTTTCCCTCCCCGAGCATCATCCGGTCTCTGGAGATTCCGCGGGAACGTCGCTCAGCCATTGCTGGTACAGCACCATTCAATATGCAGAAGGTCATCCGGAGGACGGCTTTGGCAAGAAACCAGGCCCAGCGAAAGGCAGTTCGAGCTGCTAAAGATGCTGAGCGTGAAGAATTCAAAGACCACCTGAGACAGCGATTCGCTTTGAACCGCATAGAGCTCGATAACATCCGCGCTGAGAGGCAACGACGACGAGAAGACTGGCTCCGCGGACCTCTAGCACCTCAGCGCGATGCCGGTTTTGAGGGCCAATCATTCGGTGCCCTAAGCCCCCAGGCAATGAATCCACCACCTATCCCCAAGCACCTAAGGAGGAAATATATCAACATCGCCGTGGGAGACCGAGTGTGTATCATGAAGGGCCGGGATAAGGGCAAGATCAATGAGGTTGTCCGTGTAGATACAAGCAATGAGACGGTTAACGTGAGGGATCTTAACATGGTATGCTTCTGTGATTACACGCGCTATCCTTAGGGTATCTTTGCTTCTGACTGACTCTTGACATTCCGCAGAATGATGTGCATCTTCCCAGTTGGATCAACTCACAATACGGAAACAAGGGCACTGTCAATGCGATGGCCCTGCCGATTCCCATCGATGATGTCCGCCTTGTCGTTGCCCTTGACGATCCAGCTACTGGACAAACACGAGACGTCTTGGTTGAGCATGTTCACGGAGGGGAGCCAATCCTTGAACGGGAACATGGCACCGAAACTCCCAGACATACCAGATACATTTCCGGCGAAAACATCGAAATCCCATGGCCTCGCCGTGAACCTCCGGTTTTGAATGACGAAGAGTGGGATACGCTACGCATGGAAGTTGAAACGCCGACTTGGACACCATCGCTGCATTATGCGCCCTTTCCTCCCAGTGTTCTGGATGAGCTCCGGAATAAGTTCTCGAAATACCGTACACGGCACGATCCGGAATGGGTTGAGGCGAAGAAGATGGAAGATTACAGAAAGGAGTACCTTCAAAGCAGGTCTTTGTTGACACCCAAGGGTGAGCTGATGGCTATGATACGGGCCAAGAAGGAGGAACGCCTGAATGCGAGAAGGGATGCTGATGGTAATATGCTCATGGACGACCAAACGGCCGGATTCATTGAGAATTTCTTGAAAGAGAAAGTGGCGAACAAGGCGTAATCAGCTTAGGTGTGATTCACCGGTTTTTGATGGGACGTGTGCCCAGAGGAATAATTTCTGTTCTCTCTCTTGTTTGAATGTTGGATGTATACAAATGTACCACTGTAGCATAGAATATGATTGTATAAGATTACCGGGTTTCGGCGTGTACTTATATTCCAGGCCTCTGGGTGAATCCATGGGGAAGGGAAGCGACATGGTTAGATTGGGATGTCTCTGAAAAGCCAATAGGACTCATGACTGGTCGCTATTAAGCCCCCGATTGCGTTTGGGCTATATTTGGTCGACAGCCGCCAGGGGAGTGGTTCGCAGTCTCTCTTATCCATCATCTCTCCGCGCCCGAAGTTTCCATCCCCCATCTCTCTCCCTCCAACCCTTCGCGCAGCCCCGTTCATCAAGACATTCTGTTCGGCTTTGTTAACCTGGGGGCTGCTCTTTCCCAACTATGGCATTCGCCGCAATAAATTCATCGGCTACGAAAAAGATTCCAGCCATTGAAGATGCCTTCGCCGCCGAACCTTCTTTGAAGAAACGAGTCTACGATGCGATCGGTGCGTAACCCAACACCTGACACGGGTCCTGGAGTGAAAGGGAATTGACTCGTGTCCGTTACGGCTTTACAGGGACTACCCCGCAATATATACCTCTCTTCGAGGACATTGCCAAATATACCTCCAACCTGCTGGTCAGGAATGCGAGCGCCCCCGTTCAGCCTGTCGAGACGCCTACAGACGGTCCCGCGGCGAAGAAACGAAAGCTACAGAATGGAGATACTGTAGGACAGGCACAATCGTCAGGTGATTTGAAGGCCGATGCGCCGTTACAATTCTACATGCAGGATGTTTCCTTCGCTGTTCCGCAACGGAAAAAGCTTACACTCGAAATTACGGCCGGGCGCGGTTTTCTTCGCGCAAGGAATCAGACCTCGAAGGCAGTGGAGTTTGGCATCCACGTGGACAAAATACGTAAGTCTGGTGGCCAGTTTGTATGAAATTGACACTAACTGTGTTGTTGGTCAAAAAAGAGCATGTCCTTTGCCTTCCTGTCCCGGAAAAGAACCAGAAGCAATTCAATTTCTGCATTATCCCCCAATATGGCGATGGTATAAACCCACCACCGGAGGGCGAAATTGCCCCCGAGGCGATGGTGTGGACGGTCAACGACGGTCCTCCCAAGGCTGCATTCTCGGGGAATGGACAACAGATGGGAACCAGCGATGGGGAAACAGCTGAGAATGTTGTTAGGCAAATGCTAAATGAAAATGTATTGCATACAAAGGTGGTGCGCCCAGATGAGAGGGAATTTGTCAGTGCCATGCCTGAGGCGCATCGAAAGGGAGAGAAAGCCTACCATGTTAAGGCCTTCCGTGGCAGTAAGGAAGGTACGGTTACCATAAGCGGATTTCAATACTGGTTTGTCTTCAGCTAACCTATTTTCTACTATAGGATATCTCTTCTTTTTGTCCACAGGCATATTGTTTGGATTCAAGAAGCCCCTAGTCTTTTTTGCTTTCGAGAACATCGACTCAATCTCATACACCTCTGTACTTCAGCGAACTTTCAACCTGAACATTGTGGCTCGGCCTACTTCGAGTGATGAAACGCAGGAGCTGGAGTTTTCTATGATCGATCAGGCGGACTTTGCCGGTATCGATACTTACATCAAGAAACACGGTCTACAGGATGCTAGTCTTGCAGAAGCCCGACGTGCGAAGAGATATAATATTAACGGAGCGAAGACTGGGGAGGAAGGCGCTATGGATACGGAAGGTCCCGTCGAGGAAGAGAGCGAGTTGCAGAAGGCGCAACGCGAGCTGGATGACGAGGAAGACGAAGATGAAGAGGACTATGATCCCGGCAGCGATGATAGTAATGATGGTAGTGGCTCCAGCAGCGAGGAAGACTCTGATGAGGATGGTGATGAAGATGAAGAAGATGACGAGGAAGGGCGAGATCTTCTCGCAGATGAGCTTGGGAGCGAGGCGGAGGATGTTCCTGCTGACCAGCTGTGACGGAACACTTGTCATACTTAAAGAACTGTACGAAATACTGGACGTTTCATGGTTGCGATGCCATATTCATCTCGGTGCATTGATGCCCTGCAGGCCAGACCAGTCAGGCGTAGGTTGTTGATGTTTCATCGTAACCACCTTCGGCTTATACTTTTCATCTCTCACTCATCGTGCGGCATGTATCAATATGACACTGCAAAATGGGCCAGGCATTCAGCAGTGCCCCTGCAGAATCCATGCTCATGCACCATAATCAGATGTGAGGTCTCAGTCCAATCACTCCATTCCACGTAGAACCGTTTCAAGGGTGCATGGTGTGGGTTTCAACCGCCAGGAAACGCACCACTGCCCTGCAAGAAAGTACATGCGAAGACTGTTTGGTGGGTCACCTACGTGTCAGGTGGAGTTTTTCAATGTTTTTGGTGGCTGTTCAACTGCGAATACCGCTTGTTGCTATGCATATCACAGGGGTTTGTACTCAGTTGATACTATGATATGCCGACACACGAGAAAATCAAGGGCAACATTCGCTACGCACTGACGGTGCCTCCCAAAGACCCCGCGCCTTCAAGTGACTAGGATATGCGTCCTTCGCCGGTAGGACGTGAATTATATTCCTGGCACTCTGAGTTGCTTCTTATAAAGTTCTCCTGGGCACATGTCCTAAGATGCTTTGTATCGTGAAATTGTGGGTTAAGCATAGCCTCCTTGTGGCTTGGGAGCGGTCTTTGCATTGGAATATATATTTGGAGGACGTATCATTATCTACTTAGAGAACATGATCATCGGCTCCTCCGGAAATCCATACAATTATGAACATCGATCCGGTGATAGAGGTGCCATGTACGGAGCATTTCTCAAGCCTCCATACTCCGGAGTAGATCAGAATGAGCCCTCATGGTCCAGTGGGATGGAACCATCAACCCATGGAGTCACGAATGCAAAACCATTGGCGGATGTTCCATGGTGGAGTATCTCTAGGGGTTCGGTTGGCACAAATTGCAAGTTAAGGCAGATCGCCCATGATTACTTTGATGTTGAAGTGCAGAGAGGATTGTCCACTAACAGGACGATTGGCAATACCGATGCTTCCAACGATCGGTGTGGCTTTGGTAACCACGGACCATCAACCGGGGTTGATAATAGGTCAGGCTAAAGGAGAGTGATCCAAAATCAGCCTGACTGTGGTTCCCAGTGGCGTGATTTTGCTCTGGCTATGGAGCACTACTGCCAGTAGTAGGATCTGGGTCCCTTCTGAAAGGGGGTTGCGATATACTGTGTATGTCTTACACAGTCTACGAGTAGTACCTGGAGATGAAGAACTTTTTTTTTCTTTCAAGAGCTCAACGATACGCCGAGGTTCGACATGCTCGCTTGCCGTGCTTTTCTCTTTTCTTTTCCTCTTTTTTTTTTTTTTTTTTTTTTTTTTTTTTGCCCTTCTCCTCGACCAAAAAAAGTGGCACCTTCTGATTAAGGAGTGGCATTGGTCCCATTTTCCCAAATTCGGAAATATAAGCTACCCGCGGCGGCGAGAGGGCGCGTGCTCAAAGCCGATGTGCTCCCCTGAATGGTGGGTTAGTCATGGTATCGAACGGTGCGTTCGATCGAATTAATATGTTCTCGACAGAAGAAGCGACCCAAGCCACTATCGAGTATTCCTCGGAATATGTAGTACTATAGACGATGGAAACGGTAGAAGAAACTGATCCTTAAAATGCCGCATGGTATAGATTGGTCAGGGGCACGGCCAGCAAAGCAATAAACTAGTTGTTTAGTCCGCGTCTGCTGGCGACTGCTTTGAGGAGGAGCTGCTTGACAGCTAGCATTTTGATCTCCGTACCTGGCTTTAACACATGTATGTTGTCCTGCAGCGATAGACTTTTGAGGTTAAGGCGAGGGGACAATCCGCGCCCGTTGGATGTATGCACCTGGATTGCTCGCTTATCATGTTGGTTTATATCGGATTCATGGTAGGGGTTGTCCTTCGTGGTACAGTACAGTACGGAGAGGGGGTACGACCTTCGTACTAGTACTAAGGGATCCGAACAACTGGACGATGGGAAATGAAAAGCCAATCAATGACCCCCCTCCTGACTCTGAAGGTTCCAGGTAAGGTAAGGTATGTATGGGATCATGGTACTATACGGGAAATATTACGCTGCACATGGCCGAGGGTCAATTGTAAGTACTCAAACTACATAGGTCGACAGTGTATTTCAGAAAATGAAAAAAAAAAAAAAAAGGGTAACCATAGTAACAATTGGAACCTGCGCAATCCACATGGGTCTCCTTACACAATGAATGTCTCTCAATTGAAATTTCCTTTTGACCTGGGTTCCCCAGATTCATGGAACAATCCCACCCTGGGTCGAGTAGCCATCTTGATCCTTGGGTACTATCTACGGGGAAGCACGCGACGAACAATGACTGGAACGATTGTTCCTGGATCGTATACATACATACATACATTTTCACGTATTCGAGCTAATCCCTCCCCGTTCGGAATCTTAGCTTGCCAGTCTGGCCAGAACGACCGCCGAAATCCACTTACTATCTCCTTAGCAAGTTAGTGTCCGGGCTTCAACCGTTCGTCGCCCAACAGCCCGAGCGCTAAGGGAGCCACTAAGCCAGTCCAGTGACTTCAGTCCCTGTACTAGGGCGAGTCGAGGTTCCATACGGAATTCCCTGTTTTCCTTGCTCTTCCTGGAGATGTCTTGATTTCGAAGTCTTTGGAATACTGATGACGTTTTTTTTCCCTGGTCCATTGGGGATTGTATTCCCTGTACTTAGTTGATGTACGGTATTTATCCAACGGCCGAGGAGATCTCTGAAAATTACCATGGTTCTCCCTCTAAAGGATCCTCGAATTATATTTCCGCTAGTCAATACCGACACTGACCAACCTTAGTAGTACCCATACGCGCTAACCCCCAAGGCAGGCAGCCAGGTAATGTAAGTTGAATGGTACCTCAGCCTTCAGGTACGGAACGACAGTCGACGGACCAGTGACAAGTCGGCCGTCCGTCGTCCAACCATCGCCTTCCCTCCCTCTTGACTTTCCTCCTCTCTCCGCCTCATTTTTTCTTTTTTGGTTCCTAATTTTTTTCCCTCCCTCCCCCGTAGGCTCAGGTGTCCATAGCCTCCATACTACTGGTTGTGTTCCCTCTTCACCTAAGAACTTTCTATCCACTCATAGTTCCCCATCGCTCTCCCCATTCCTTCTTCCTCCATTACTCTTTCGAACCTCACCCTCTTCCTTCCATTTCCCTTCTCCATTCTCCCAATCCTTTCAAACCACTGCTCAGTGCGGTTCATCGTACTGCGACGCAGTTGGTGAGTACCAGGGAGTAATTTTCACTTGTTAATTATTTTCCTTTTTTTTTTTTTTTTTTTTTTTTTCCCCCTACTCATCCTCGACTGAACCCACTTTTCTTTTTCCTTTTTACGATCCTCCCTTTTCCACAGCGCACCTTAAACTGTCAACCTGCAGCCCCGATTGTCGGCCTACCGGAGATAATTACCTGTACTGCACTTCCGTGACCTTTTCCCATCAAACGCTGCCAAAGGGTATACAATTCTCTCTTCGCCTGATACTATCGGTGCGACTGGTTCACATAGCCGTCGATTTGCCTCCGCCCGTTGCCTCCGTTTTGTTGTGCCGGTTCTAGCATACATTAGACTCGTGAATGAATGGTCTAGATCGCAAACAGGCTTTCTGTGAGCCTTTCCCCCTTTCTTTTGCGTGCAATGCAGTTATCATCCCATTCCGGTCGATCGGTGTTAGTTGATATTTACCCTTGTTACCTTGCTGACTGTTTCCATCTATTCGCAGACTAGTCTTTCACGTGCCGAGCCTGCGGATCGAGTCTCCTGACCCGACTGTCCCTTGGTGAAATCAGCCTTCCGCTTACCGTCACCAATACCCATTGCAACCATGGCGTCCTCGTCGTCCAACGTTGTGGGTGTCCACTACAGAGTGGGAAAGAAGATCGGTGAAGGATCGTTCGGTGTGATCTTTGAGGGCACAAACCTTTTGAATAATCAGCAGGTGGCCATTAAATTCGTGCGTGCATTGTCCCAATGGAGGAGCAGGACACTCGACATACTGACAGCTCCAGGAACCACGGAAAAGCGATGCACCGCAACTCCGCGATGAGTATCGGACGTACAAGATTCTGGTCGGATGCCGTAAGTCCTGGACGAGCATACTCATATAGCAGAAGACATTGTTCTGATTGAACGCAGCGGGCATTCCCAATGTCTATTACTTCGGCCAGGAGGGTTTACATAACATCTTGGTGATCGACCTTCTCGGTCCGAGTCTGGAGGATCTTTTCGATCACTGTAATCGTCGCTTTTCGACAAAGACAGTTGTGATGGTGGCTAAGCAGATGGTGCGTTGTACTGACGATCTTGTATGCATATCGTCTAACAGTTATCTTCAGCTCTCTCGTGTCCAAACGATTCACGAGAAAAACCTAATCTACCGTGACATCAAGCCCGACAACTTCCTCATTGGCCGCCCTAATTCCAAGGCTGCCAACGTTATCCATGTTGTCGACTTCGGTATGGCCAAGCAATATCGCGACCCAAAGACCAAGCAGCACATCCCTTATCGTGAGCGAAAGTCGCTGTCCGGTACAGCTCGCTACATGAGTATCAACACCCACCTGGGCCGGGAGCAATCCCGGAGAGATGACCTGGAAGCTCTGGGTCACGTTTTCATGTACTTCTTGAGAGGAGGCCTTCCGTGGCAAGGACTTAAAGCCGCGACGAACAAGCAGAAGTACGAGAAGATTGGTGAGAAGAAACAGACTACTGCGATCAAGGATCTGTGCGAAGGATTTCCTGGTACTAACCCCCGATCTTTTCTTTTTTTCTACTTTAGCGCAGTCATGCTGACCCGTTGAACTATAGAAGAGTTTACGAAGTACCTCACTTATGTCCGCAACCTTGGGTTCGAAGACACACCGGATTACGACTACTTGAGAGACTTGCTCACGCAAGCCTTGAAGAACGCAGGAGAGGTCGAAGATGGCGAATATGACTGGATGAAGCTCAACAATGGAAGAGGATGGGAGTACAAGTCGTACTCGTCCCAGCAGCATCTCCACAACAATGCACTCCCCAACTCGTCTGCTCGTGAGCTTCATGCCCAGCAGCTACGCAGCAGCCAGAGGCCCGGTGTAACAGCAGACCGTTTAAACGCCGCGCAGCCCCCGCCCCCTTCTCCGGCGAAGCCGGGAGCAGGGAAGACGCGCGAGCGGCAAAACGTCCAAGGCGGGATGCCACCGAAGCGCCAGAGCGGGGGGATGGACACTACACCGACGGTGTCCACTCAGGCACAGTTCCAGAACTCGAACGCCAACATTCCGGGTCGCATGGGAAGCCCAGCCAACCCGACGAAGAATAGCCAGCAAGGCCCAGGCGCTCAAGGGAACAATGAGCCGCAGCCCACTTTCGTTCAGAAAGTGATGAAAGCATTATGCTGCGGTAGGTGACCATGCTGATGCTCCGGTGTCATGCCTTTTCGCTTATGCAGCTTTCCAGGTTGATACTCGGTTAAGCACAGGGAATGTAATTTTACATCATGTTGGCTTTCGACTTTCTTTCGTTCTTTCTTGTCTTCGCGCTCTCGGGAGGGTTGAAAGACAGCATGCAATTATACTCTGTTATAAACCAGACGCTCCCCATCTCCTTGAACCAAGCTTGGAAGGCTTTTGCAGACACTGCTGGCAGATGAGCACAAGATGGATAGGGGTGGGTATATTGTTTTCCTTATTCTTCTGTCAACGATGGAATGGGTTTCGGATCGAGCAAACCGCTCGCCCGCCCGGTTTCATCTCGACGCTGCAAAATTAATACAGCTCGAAGCGGACCGGTCACGAATAGAGCGGCCCTCATTTCACACCTCGACGTCTCATCACACTCGTCATCTTCGACACTCTTTTCATGGTGCTACGGCTCGGAACGGCGAATTTGCGATTATTCTGCTTTGTGCGATTTCCTTTTCTTTTTCCCTTACCCGCATTCTGGCGTGAGCCATTTAATACTAGATTCTTGTGTGTCAGATCACATATCGTTGCCCTATCCTCATCCTTTTTCCGACCATCTCGACCTCTTTCACCTCTGGCCGTCTCTGTGCTCTCAGTTCATTGTGGCTGGTTCTTCGATGGTAATATTAATGACGTGGCGGAAGGGCATTTGGCATCTGATGGAAGAGTCCTCGTGTTTCAACCAGCAGTGACCTATTTACAAAGCATTTAAGACTAAATGTTTGAATATGCCCCATGGGATACGTCGCAGGACAAATGGGTCCATCGGTCAAGGAGTTTATGTGGAAGCAGCCTGTGGCTGTTCGGTTTCCTTTTTTTTTTTCCTTTTTATTCTTTTCTTTTGCCTTTGTTTCTTGTCTGTGTACGTCTTGTGTCTATCTGCAGGGGTCATTCAGATGTCGCCTCATCGGTTGGATTTGTACTTGCCTATACCTTAACAATTGTCAGCAAAAAGCCAAAACAATGAGTGGATTGATCAACTGTGATCTGGTTCATATCCCTTAGACGAGATTGATGTGCCTACCGCCGATCTTGTCGTACTCCCCGGTCGGGTTGTTGCAGGATTGAAGGGGACCAGAGAGGCAATGTCCTATATCTTTCCGTTCCCGTTAAATCTACTGTTTGTTTCTCTACATGTTTGGGCAGCGAGTTGATCGTGTGGGTTCAAGATAGCATTCTTTGATTTGTTGCATTGGGGCCGATTCGCTCTGCCAGTGTATAAGACAGTCTGATAGCGTAGAGTAATTATACCAAGCATGTTATGTTCAATCCAGTTTTTCCTCACGATCTGATCGGCTGACGGGACCAGCCATTCAAGTCGATGGGCAGGAAGCAAGGATGTATGATTCTATTGGGTGTTACTCGAGTATCCAGAAGACGACTCCTGCATGATCCGTGACAAGTTGCAGACTGAGACTTGCCAACACTAGTGGCAAGGCCATGGACATGGGTCTGAAGGGTGGCATCTCAGCGCAGCAACACTAAGAGTGGCATCCCTGTCCCTGTCACTCCAGGATTGGCCGTTAGCACCAGGATCAGTCTGCCGTGCTGCAGAAACGTTGTCAGTGGTGGCCATTGGTTGACAGGTGCAGATCGTTCCGAGTCCTTCATTCGTGTCTGAGTCTGCTAGCCTGATTGATTGACATCTTCACGTCATTGGAGATGAGAGGGTCTGAGGTATGAGGTATGAGGTGTGTGACATGAATGCCGTCCTCCCATGGGTTCGGCTCACCTGTGCAACACCGGCCTTGCCTGACTTCCTAACCATCTAACCATCTGTAGGTATTTTCATCTGGCTGAAGGGGGGGGTGCCCTCAGTCTGACGATTATTTATGCATGTAACTGCGGAAAGATAGGGATATGTTTGAAACATCCCCGTCTCTTTGATAGTAGTAGGAGTAGTACCATGCTCATTCGCTGGGCTGTGCTGTACATAATGATCTTCTTCATCTGGTTATGCAAGCCAGCATCGACTGCCTGTTTCTCTCGTCGGCGAGTTCCGTCACAGGATGAATAGCATTAATTCTCCATCCTCTCAGTGGGTACTCCTCACTAAACGGACTGGGATCAGAATCATGGGGTCCCCATTATTCCCCTCTTCGTTTTTTCTAAACCCCCCACAGTCCAAGTCTAGACTTGAGGAGTTGTCCTCCCTTTGTAGGACCAATAATGTGAGCCATCATGTATCCGCTGCTAACGAAGTGGTCCTGTACTTATCTTGATTAAGAAGGTCCGTTACTGGTCGATTGGAGTCACCAGCACAAATTATGGAGTCCAACATAGATTACTAACGCTTTAGCGCAACTATCGTACCTTAGGCACTATTTTTTTTTTTTTTTTTTTTTTTTTTTTGAAGATCATGCCACAACATTTCTCTGACTGGTGTCTCTCGTGTTGTTGCTAGCCCCTCTCCTGGTTAACCGCGGATTTGCCGGCCCTTAGGATATTGATGTCACGAGGCACTGGCCTATCTCGCTTTGACTCTTGAAACTTCATCTGTTGATCAGTTAGTCACGGTGGAGAGAGCGCCGATGATGTCTGTGTGTCTGTGTGGTGAAGTTGTTTATGCGTCTTACGGAACGGAGAAATTGTGGATCAGTTGATGATGGCGTGGTGAGTGTTTTCCATTCCCATGCGCTTGGAAAGGAAATTAGGAACATACACAGGGGCACTCCCTTATATCCCACATCGCAAACAATAAGCATCCACACTCGTTCCAGAAAGAATAATTGCCTACACCGTTAGTTTTCCGTTTTGTCCGCCAACTGTTTCCAACGTGTCGTCCGATTCGCGACGCCATGACACGTGGATGTGATACGTTGTTCAGTAGGATGCCGACTTGGGAGCTGTTGGAACGGTTGGAATTGAGTAAAACCTTCTATGCGAGAGCTTGGTTGGTAGCCATGGGCGGTCTCGAGCTGTGTGGTTCTCTCACTAGCCATTTTGATAGCTCCTATGCATTATGCATGTAGGTCAGGAGCTTGACCATGCGTTCTCGACTTCCTTTGCTTTTTGAATTTGATTATTTATTTATTTATTTTTTGCTCCCTGCTTATCTATAAGCGTTTATATACGAACTAAACACAAAAACTTACTCGTACTAGCTGAACTATACACAATTCCATTGTGATATAGAGATATATTGTTCCACTCCACCACCAGATGCAGTTGCCACCAGCAAGAAAAAAACCACCGAGTCAGTGAATCCGGGTCAGGCTTGTTCCAAATGGGCGATTGCGTACACAGGCCTCGATATCTCGCAAGAAGACGCCCGAATCTCGAGTGCCAGATAAACTAAGTCGATCCACTGCGAACTAAACGGATGGATACCTGAGATAGTGCTTCGCGCTTTTGCGCTACCCATTTGGGGGGGGAGGTCCCACTCCGGTTCCTCGGAAAACTACAGTCTCCATCTTTCTACTTCGTATTATCAATTTGTCCCAATGATAAGGCCATATCTTTCCACGTTGCGTGTGTTGGGTCTATTGCGTTGATATTGGTAATAGTGATTCACATCTTACTCTGGCTTTATCCGGAGTATAGCCGCACTACTCCCAATAGATGGATAGCACCATTGAATGAAATTCAATTTCTGTGGTTCAATGGAAGGGAGGAAAAAAGAAAAGAAAAAGGTAACCAGACTCGAAGTGGATACATATTTCTTTATCGAACTATAGTGCTCTGTATACTCCTGTGTAGTAGCGGCATAGCCCGACTAGCGATCAGAGCCTTAATTTTTGCCACAGTTTGGTTCGATTTTTTTCTTTTTATTTTTTTCAACCCGCGGGGGCTTCGTATGAAAAGTTGGATATTGAAAGTTGTTGGATAGTGGAGCTCAGTCAGGACGATACCGGGCAGAGCATTCTCTATCTATAGACACCGGTGAGCACCGTTGGAGTCGGGCGGTCCCAGCTAGTTCGTCAGGTTGCTATGGCAGTTGATGACCTGGTTCAATGGCTGGAGTCAGTGATGCTGTCGTTAGTTGTCAATTTGTTGATATCGGGAGAAATAGGGATGGCTGGTTGATATCAGAATTGCCGGTCTCCTGGCCGAGTCATATTGTTTTCTATATTTGATGTTGTGATGATTTGCAAAAGTTTAATAAATAATACCGAGAGACATCCGTTCATAGATTAGTTCCCAGGGGCTGGATGCGTTACACATCCTACGATCAAAGTGGCGTTTGGAACAATTCGAAGGCTTCTATCAATGTTCTAGAATCCGAAAATTTTCACCGCATCTGACCGTGCTGAGCCTTGTGGCTTTATCTTCTTGGCCCTCGTTGTCTGACACCTGTAGGGCACACGGAAGAAAACGGAATGCCCGAGTGATTGCATTGCCTTACGGACAAAAAAGATGACTCAGTTTGCCACCGGAAAACTGATACTCATTCAATTTTTCTGAATTGTGGTCCTGGGTGGCTCCCCTCCATATTCTTATTCAGGACTGGATTCGTTATGATCTGCAGATGTACAGGGACGACTTTTTTTTTTTTTTATCTTGGTTGCACGGCAGATTGTCTATGACGTGATGTTATCTCATCCTGCCTTTTTTCTATATTCTGTACTCCGTACTCTGTACCACGTCCCGTCTCTGGACCCTCTTTGACGGTTCGTTGGAAAGATGATGGAGGAGACAATCTTGCAAGGGATGGCAGATCTTGTGCGTCCTTGTGTCTGTTGTGTTCTTATCGTTTGTTGGATGGATGGCCGACTGCCTCTGCAATGGGATTGGCCGGATTTCCTTCATTCCATCAAGAAAGAATGGTGTAGGACAATACCTCACCCTTACCCCCCCACGACGCGCAATCCATTGAGCTCTGGGATGGGGAGCATCTATAAGCTGTGTATGAGTAGTACTTACTCCGGAGTAGTTGATATATGGATATGGTCTGAATTCGATGGGACAGGGACTTGTAAGCTACATGTCAGATAGGTCTTGCCCAACACAGTTAGAAGCTCAAGTTCGAGCCCATGGGTTTTGCCAAGACGTAATAAATGGAAGCGGTCCAACAAGCTTCTCGACCGAGCAAAGAAAAAACCAATTCCATCTTATGATTTCGAGCAAACACACACGTTGGCGGCCGTGGCCGCTTCTTTTCCCCTTCGTGGAGACGTGTGCTT